ATGCGCATTGCATAATGGTCTAACAACAAAAAAAAAAAAAAGCATCACCACTATGAAATGGAAGACATATATTTTACCGTGCCTAACCAAATCAAAGCTTAAGAGGACATCTAATCTACTGATCTCCCAAGTTGGGAGGAAAGACAAAGAGGTTCTAATAGATAAGTTAAATATTTACGTATCAAGGAAGAGATCTGCCAAGGCACTGCGTCTTATATGTTCACTTTTCATGGCAACATCCGTAAATATAATCTGATCCGGCCGCACACCCTGCTGAGTTGCATCTGAATCACATGAAAACCAGTTATTTTAATACTAAAGACCAATAATAAATTCAGGCATGTTTGACGGTTCAGAAGAGATAAGTAGACAATCTACAGATACTGAGATACTAGAACACCTACATGTGCGAAGTCTCATCTCGCCTGCAGCTGGGAATCTAAGAAGCCAAAGAGCACTATCGGGAACACGCTTAAGAATATTGCACCTGAGTTTAATTGCAAGAAGACTGAGAATGTAAATGAAACAAGCAAGCAGTAAAACAGGATTAAAAATGCCACCAATTTACCATGTGGTGAAAATGTCAGGATCCATCTTGTACAGCTGATTGAAACATGCAAAGGTAAATTTGTCTTCTGGTAATCCATAATCAGATCTCTTAGGCAAGCACTTGGGATCCAAGACATCACGATTTTTCTAGTGACAATTGCAATGCAAAGAAGAGAATTAAAGGAACAAGACAAATCATGATGTCAAAGCACATAACAGATACAAGGAACCATTTCTAACCTGCTTATAATCATTTACAAAGTAACAATGAGGAAGGTGAACAAGCTTCTCGGAGTAGATATGAGAAAAGCGAAGAGGTGAGACAAACTGCAACAGGAAGAGCAAATTATGTGTAAAACAGAATAGAATATATTCAGAAGTATAATCCTAAGAATTGACCTATAGTTCTCTAACCCCATCAGTGACCAAATAGTGTATGTATGATGCACCAGTAGTCCCAGGAAATCCCATGTAAGAAATCTGAATAGGAGCAGGTTGCATAGCAAATATCTCATTCCTTGCCCCCTGCAATATTAGATTTGAGGCAATTGAACAAAAAATTATAATAATATTAGCAATAAAATGGTAAAATCCTAATAAGATAACAGCTGAAAGGAAAAAGAAGTATTTATAAGAGGTAGAACTGTTATCTTCACGCAAATTTGGTTCACAAAGGCATTCATCTAAATTTCCACCCCATCAAGTGGAGCAAAATAAAAGCAAACAGATATTAAAGATTTCATTTCTTTTCCCCAAATTTTTATGAGTTTCAGTTGAATTACCAAATAGCAAAAGTTGATACCTTCGTATAACCATTAAGATTGACAAGAATTTGTATTTTATCCTCATTTATCATCTTTGCAATCACGTCAGAGGACATGGATGATACATCTATGAAGTGCTCTGCTTCAGACTGGATACGCAACCTCCACTCTGTTCCATCATTTGGACTCAATGCATAGCAGAATACCTGCAAACATATATTCTTAGTTCTAGCATGTATTGATAAAACATAAGAAAAAATTTGAAAAGCCAAATCAAAATTAGGGTCACATGAGAGCAGATCAATTTTCAAACCTCAACATTTTCTCTATTGTGCATGCCAAAGACTGAGCCCATGAGATGAGATAGGGGATGGTTGCCAAAATCACTACTCACATATCTGAAAACACAGTTCGAAATAAAGGACCAGAGAGAAAGAAAAATTACAGATGTACAGCAAAAGAGAGTGATCTTAAAACATACCCCACCCTGAGGCGTCCATTCCCATTCTCACCCTTCACAGGGAAGGGTGCAGGATAGTTGAAACGAGCAAGTGAATAACGAGATGCAATAACAGAGCAGTGTGCCGCATATTTACGACTATTAAAAGGAAAAAGAAATCAATCAGAAATCAAATTTGTACAGTTCAAAATGTTACTAAATCCACAAACTTCACCCAACTTGCCTGATATCTAGTGCAAGCACTGGATCAATTGGATAGGCTATTGCGTGGAAAGGCTGCACGCTAGGAATAACAGACATCTGAAGGATAAAATGAAAGCTGTCAATGCTTCTATGTGATAAATCAACTAGAAAGGAAACTCAGAGCCAGACAAAAAGCCAAAGAAATGGAAGTATTGCTTATAGCAGATTGAGCATGAACCTTAATCTGTCTCCTGAGTATGCCTTCAACCTCAATAAATTTATTCTCCCGATCCTCCCAATCACAAACACACTGACCAAGGGAATATAACATTTATTAATTGCAAACAAACAAAAATAATCAATTGAGTTAGCCTAGGAAGCTATATCTATTTGGTAAAATATATGGACTGTTCAACCTTAAGTCTATTGATACAGAGTAAACATATAAAAATGCACCTCTGGAATTTTTATTTTTTTTGGTCATTTCACATTATCCAGGAACCATTTAATCAAATACCAACAGCCTAAAAAACATAACAAAAACAAAGCAAGATAATATTCATAAAGTGTCTTGCTCATGAACTAGGGTTTATTTTAAAACCCCCATTTTCCCATACTTTTAAATGGAAGGCACTAGATTATTACTTCCTACAACATTAAAGACTTGGGAGAGAAAAAGTTGGGAGGTAGAAGGAATGCTCTTTAATCAACAAAACTTGTTGCTGAGCATGCTCAAGTATACTATCTGCCGATTCCAAATAAGGGCCAATAGGAACTATTCCCAATTTGTTGTAATGCTCACTTAAGTTATCACTATCACCAACACGTGAGATCACAAAAAACAATACCATCTGCAAAAACTGTCAAGATTTTGCTAGCATATAATTTCTTTCATTTAGATGCTCCACAAAAAACAAGGAAAAATTTTCTATCAACTTAAATTTAACTCTCAAAATTGAAACACATATTCACATGCTCTCTTCAAAGAGGACTCATGATGAATGATTAGTCAAGTTGTAATTTTGCACGTACAAGAGGATGCACCATGACACAAACCTAAGATTGCCACTTATAGCTCAAACTTGAACTAATCCTCATTTTGAAACACATATTCACATGCTCTCTTGGGACTCAAGGTGCATTGCTAGTTCTCAGGGAGATGCATGGACCTCATATTGTTTCAACCTTTTTGGTACAAGATACCCACTTAATCTGAACAATAAAAGATTTCTTGAAGAATAAATCGACTAAATTAATTTACCGACATTTCAGTGACTACATCAGGTAAGCTAGAGTTGAAAGACAATCTAGATAGGATCCATGTCCTTAACAGAAAACAGCATCAGCATCATTCTCTACTCCAACAAGTTTCATGATCTAGAAATTATCTACATCTAAGATGCCGAAAATCAAGCTACACTGGAACTGCAGATGTGTCCTAATTTCATTCCTTTCCGTTGGTCCATACCTGTAATGTATGTAGAAGGTTACAGGTTGCTTCTGGAAAATCAGGGCGAAGAGCCAGTGCTTGCTTGTAGCTTTTTATTGCAGCCTCAACATGTCCACTGCAAAAAGTTGGAAATCACAAACATTGACACAATAAGATTTCCATAGAGGAGAAAATAGCTGCATTTAAGTATCAAATACCTGTCCTTATAAGCTGACGCCAAATTTGCATGAGCTTCAGCCATGGCTGGCCTAATGTTAATAGCTCTTATGTAATCTTGAATGGCTTCATTTACTATTCCACTCTCCTTATATGTGTTCCCCCGGTTGACTAGTGCATCAGCGGCCATAGGATCAATACGCAGAACTTCTTTGTAACAAGATATAGCGTCTGAGAGATTACCCTGTAAAAGAAGAGATGAAAAAAAATATAACCCTGCATCAGCATTGCATATAAAAGTGACTGTGCAAGAAAGAAGATACCTACCTGCTGTTTGTAAATGATTGCTAAATTGTTGAAAGGAGCAGAGAGTCCTGTTGTCACAGATAAAGTTGCCTTGTAGCATGAAGCAGCAGCAGTCAACATATTCCTACAATTAAAAATCATTATCTCACAAGGGAATCCTATTAAAACTCCAACCAACCAGAATGATTAAAAAAAAGCATAATTGGTGCAGTACAAACCATTCCATATATATATTCCCAAGGTTTGTAAGTGCCTGAGGATGGTTAGGTTGCAAGGCAAGACATTGCTTCATAAAACAACAGAAATACAATTAGAATGATGTGTGAAATATGTGGAAAAACATGATAAAGAAAGAAATCAATAGGACAGCAGAACAGGGTAGATAATACAAGCCTACCCTATAGCATTGTGTTGCTTCATCAACTCTTCCAGCATCTTTCAAAGCATTACCCTGATGTTAACATGTCAAGTAAGACCCACATTAGAAATCGAAAAGAATTAATGGTCCTAAATTAGCAACCGATATAACAAAAGACTAGGACCAACCAAATTGTTAAATGCCTCCAAAAATCCTGAGTCAAGAGCAATTGCTCTCCTATAATTGAGAATTGCCATATCCAGGTTACGCTGTTCGTAATAAATACTTGCCAAATTGCCTGCAGAAAGGTATTTATGCAAACATCATTAGTCATAAATCAGAGAACAATGTGTAATGAGACACACTACAGCAACTTCTCTACATCCTTTAAAGACTTGCAAAAGCCAGTTGAAATGTGCAGCTATTAATTTGTCACTATTCAATTATTAGAGACATGTTGGCCAAAAGACAATTACGAGAGACGAGCTTGAGCAGGCACTGTATTGATGATAGAGTTTTAATTGAATTATAGAAAGCTGAGTTTCTCTTCTACTTATATACTACTCAGATTTTCAGAGTTCAAGACTGTTTATTCAGTTTCAATTTAGATAAGCATAAACTGATCAGTGGATATAAGTCATATACTGGCTTCTTTCAATTTTTTGTAGTCAACATACTTCTAGTAGTCAGGGTTCACAATCCACAATTTCCTTCATTCAAGCACTCTAATCCTTCAACCAATTGCAAGTCCTTGTTGTAGTTAACTTTCCAGGAAATTACATGCCAGAGATTGTATTATGCAATCAACCATATGCATTATGTATAAGGAAAATCTAGGTATCTCTTAAGAGTCCCTAAGTTTTGGCACAGTTTCAGAACAGTAGACAACCCCATTTGTCCCTATAAATGACCTAAACAAAGCAAATGTCACAGGTTGCTATTTATAGCTTCCAAAACCGTCTCATAATTCAATTTTTTACTTCCAATTAAGCACAAATCTTGTTCTTAGCCAATTCAAATATTAAACTCTATCTACTGACAACCTCTAAATAACAAATCAGCTATCTCTAAAGCTTAAAAAAACCTCTACAGAGCTGTTCAACATCATGTTCGCTTAAAGATGTTGACTTTAATCAGAGGAATTTACTTTTCTGCAGAGAATCTTTATAATGCCTACACTTTTCAGTAGTTGCGTTCAAATTCAATGAAAGAACATCTAGCAATTAAGCATTAAAATCTCATCACCAAAAGTTTAAAACCCACTGACATGTTGAGAGGACCTGCTATGCTGCAAGATGCATAAGTGTAATCTTAAGAGTCAATACTGTAGGACAGTCATATACAAACTGCATTATGACTCACCGTAGGCCATAGCATAATCCGGTCGGACCTGAAGAGCACGCTGATAGCATACAATAGCCTCTTGAGGCATTCCCAGAGCCTGGAAAAGGCAAAAGAACGTGTTTTTCTCCAGATACCTGTCCTGGCATTGCAGCTACCTGACCTTACTTGCATAATAGATTATAGCTTACCTTATAAACATTTCCAAGGTTTAGATAGGCATCAAAAAATGTTGGTTTAAGTCTCACTGCTTCCTGTAAATTAATAAGCTTACCAAATCAAAATCAGCTAAAAGAGCAGCAGCAAATAGGGGGATTACATCCAACATGGAATTTGCAAAGAAGATCTACAGCTTTCACTGCAGAATGACTTGGCCTATTGCATATACACATGCCTATCCAAAAACAATGTTGGTAATCAAACTGACTTGATATTCAATCTGGTACCTGAACAAAACATTTTGAGAAATGCAGTACCTAGATTATGTTGTTTTTAATCAATTTACTCCTTTATCCGAATTTTTTTGCTTGAGGTGCCAATAAGTAACTAAACGAATCATTTAGCAAGACTTGCAGATTATTTTGAACAAATTATTTCACAGCTAAGTTCTGAAGAGTCATTTTCTTTTCTATTCGTGTGTCTTCTTTCTCTCTCTCTATATATATATAATTTTTTCTGCTTCTAAGCAGAAAACTCTATACTTTTTGGAGAATAATCAACCACCATTGTTCCAAGATTAGAGCTTTTACGCCTCAACTTCAACTGAACAAGTTAATTTTTGTTTCTAGCTAGTAAAATTATGTGATTGATATCATTAAACCATAGATGCACTTTGAATACAACCAAACAAAAAAAAAATACAAAAGAAACTTGAATACCTTTCTGAGTTTTTTTATCTCCTTTTGCTTACAAGATCTATGTCTGCTATCTTTTTGTTTCATCCTGATTACACCATCTTCTAAATTTTCTTAAAGAACCACTTGCTTTCTCTTTGATCCCCTACCTGATCTCTTAGTCTTTTGTTATCTAGATTCAATTCCAATCTTGCAAATAGCAGGTGAAAACGCTGGCCAAGTCAAAAGGCAAATGATAATGACTCTCATTTCCAGATTGACCTTGATTCTGAATCCTAAACTCAATCCTTAGTAAGGTGGGCTGAATTTTTGTTTCTTGCACAACAATCAGAATCTATTCTAAAGCCCAGAATAAGAACCTACGGATCCAATCATTATCCTAATGATATTTTTTCCTCCATTGTGATGCTGTCTCTTTTGCTTTATGCTTATGCGGTTGAAAATTTTCAAAATGTCGATGAAGCAATTAGAATTTTTCAACTGATATAAAACTTGGTAGCCATTATCTATATGGACAAATCACAAATCTCCCAACTGCTTGGATCGTAAAAGTATAACTTACACACAAAAATATGAAAGGGTTGTAACAATTATTTTCTTTTATGAGCTGTAACAATCACTAATTGTTACAGTAGTGATGTATAGGCACATATTCATGTACATGCATGCGCCACCACAAACTTGCATACTATGTTGCTAAGAAAGCACATTCAACTGGTACCAATCATTAAAATATGGAACACATACCTTATAGTATTGAAGTGCCCTGTTAAGGTCCCCAGCTTCCATGAAAAGCCCAGCAAGATTAGACCATGCAATTGCAAAATTGGGTTGTATACGAAGAGCCTCAAGGTAGCAATTGTAAGCCTATAAGTGGAATTAATTGAAGGATTAGACAGGAGATAAAGAACAAACCAAACAACATAAGTCATGCAGGACACTGCCCTGCACTGTTGGCATCCAAGAAACAAAAGCAAACGTGCACAAGATAAACAAATTAACACAAAAGAGTGGAAATTTCCAAAAGGCCTTAAAAATCTACTTCATGTCAGCTAAGGTTCCAAGCATTTCAATCTTTCAACAGGTAGGACCAACTCACAATGACCAACAAAAATCAGTAGTGGCATCACACCTTTTAACATGAACATAAAAGCGAACTAAATCTTTCTCAAGAAAGAGAACTATTTCCTGTAGCAAGAACTTGCACCCAAATCAGTTCAGGAGTTCAATAAGAATTACTTAGTTGGAAAAAGCTGCAAACAGCACTACACTGCATTCTAAGCAACATGAATAGGTATTTATATATTGAAATAAAATTTCTGTAGCAGACATGACTTCAAACTCCTTAAACCAGCAAGGAAGTCTAAACAAATTGACAGAAGAGTTTAATACTCATGATCGAGTCATATGATATTTAGTTTATTACCAAGACAGCCACCACTCAACAAAAACCAAGACATGAAATATAGGCCAGACACTTAACAGCTTGAGCACCTCGAAATAAACAGCATCAAACTAAATATGACAGGGAAAGAGATAATATGATCAAGAAGATTTGACCTTGCCTTACCTCTTGCACAAAACCTTGAATTTTCATTAAATTGCCAAGGTTACTATGAGCATCAACCTGCATCAATGAGCAAAACTCCATAGCAATCTCAAAGAATCTTTCAGCTGTTTATGCAGAAAGCAGACAGAAAAAACAAATAAGGATGTACCAAACAGGGATTTAGTGCAAGTGCCTGGCGACAACACTGGGCTGCCTCATTAAGCCTCCCTTTTCGCATGTATGCACTAGCTAGATTTGACCATGCATCAGCAAAATTCGGTCGAAGCTTCAAAATGAAAATTCAAATCAAAAGTGAATAACTCACTAAGGCTAACCAATTGCAAACACTACCTTTATGCAATAAAAGCCTTGCTCATGAGATTGCTGATCTTAACTATTCTAAAGAAATTTTGAGGGCTAAAGACAAACAAATAAGTTCAGTAACATTTGATCCATTAAGTTTTACATGACATAATAGTTGATAACATTACAGCATACTTTCAACCATTAATAAAATTCACTCATCGATATATGAAAAAGTTTACGAATCGTACATACCTTTTATCAGTTCAAATAAGAAAAATAAAAAAACAAACTACCTATTCTACCAACCAAATCAACATTTAAAAGAGAGGATGATGCACAAATAGCTTGTTACATAAATTTTATGATCTTAACCTCTTTGGAAGCAAAAGGCAAAAGCCATTGCTCTTTCATCAAATGAAGAAGTTCTTGTGGTCCCAAGGAAAGTGATCTTTGTATTAGTATGTTATTAATAAAAGAGATTTATCAATTTTAATTAGGTAACCCAAAAGCACTGTAAACATATCTTATTAATGATTGAAAGAAACAAAGATAAAGATAAAACTCTAGAATGCCCCATATAATCAATCTTATGCTCGTAGCCACAATTCAAAAATAAGTAAGCATAATTGAGAAGTAAATGTGCACACATTTTATCAATTGCTCCCCCATGGTCAATGCCATGCATTACAAATTACAATAATCTATTTACAATTAAACAAATAATGACAATCCATGCCCGAACATCTGATTGTCCCATTCTAAACCATAAATTGTTCCCCAATAATAAAAAAAAAATGTAAATATTTACATATAAGTTTTATAAAAAGCACAACAATATTTGGGCTTTGGTATACTAGTTTTGAAGATATTACTTCTTTGAAATGTAACAATATCTTAATAACAACTTCTCCTCCAAGCTATATCCACGTCCAAAGAGTTACAAATGAACTTTTTGCTATTTATTCGGACTTAAGATCAAGATGTCCTGGTTTCTCAATCCAAAAAATGGTTGGCTTAAAAAAGAACTGACCAAAACTGCACTTGGGTACCAGAAAAGGCTATCCAAGTTGTCCTTTTACCCCAAATATAATGAAGTCAGTCAGAAGAATTGCACCTGAGACCACTGTCAAAAGCTAAAACATGGTAGTTCTACAAATCAAGGCCACATAACATAAAAACCACTAAAAGCATCTATTCACCCTCTTTCCCAAAGGGATTTCCACATGTATGCATACATATAAATAAATGGACCATTGATAGGTTGCTTTCCCATGATGAAATCTCAGAAGATTTCAGATATATTCTCTTGGTCCTGGTATGATAATATAAAGGTTCTAAATGCTATTTACAATTCCTCTTACCACAACATGATAACTGCCAGTTACCACATTATTTTGTTATCAAAGCTCAGGAAATATTAAATCTAAAGTGGAACTGATAAAAGACAGATGAAAATAAAAATAAAAATAAAAATAAGGAACCAAGATTTTGAATATTAAATTCTTATTTCAAAATGCTCCAAATTAGAAAAAGATAATGAACTCATGATGAGGCCACTGAAGCAAACACATTAACCACTGAATACTAACCTCAATAGCAAACAAATAATACCGGATTGCAGCATCAATATTGCCTTTCTCCTGCAGCAGAAAAAATTAGGAACACATATACCACCCGCAAAGGACAACAAATTGAAAAGTAGCTACAATCAAAACACTCAGAAAATACCTTCCAAGCATTTGCCATATTTCCATAGCACTCAGCAAATTGTGGATCAATTCTAAGAGCTTCTTCATTCTTTGCAATGCATTGATCATAATTATGCAACTGAGAGAAACAAAGTGTTCACTATCAGAAGCATTTAAAGCTCCTCCCTAATCGAAATAAAGCATTCACAAAATCTATTTAAAAGCTAAAAAGAAAACATTTTTCATGATAAAAAAAGGACAGCAGAAAATTTCGGAACAATGGGTGCAGCCTGCAGGGTTAATAGTTAAAGAAATTACCAGAAAAATTCAACCATTCATGGCAATAAATCATATGAACAAATATATTTGTGGTGATAAGTACAAATAATACAAGACAGAAATAAAAAAAATTAAAAAACCAAAAACTTGTGAAACAACCTGATAATGAATTGCACCCAGGAGAAGCAAATTATCAGTACGACGTGGGTTCCTCTCATAGACTGCATTGCTGTGTTCTAAAGCATGCTTGTAGTTCCCAGCCTTGTACTTTTGATGAGCAAGGGCCATGAGTGTGTCATCATCAACTGAAATGCATAAAAGAGATTCCTTCAGTATTCCTAAAAAGAGAACACCTCCCTACCTCAATTACACTTCACCCAAAAAATGTGGGAAGGAAAAAAAGACAAGAAGTCAAAAAAAAAAAAATGAAATGTTAGCAAGGTCTCCCAGATAGACATGAAGATTGCAGTTGCCACACCCACAAGCAGAATGAAATGATGTCAATGGCGCAAGGCACGCTATAGGCACTAGGACCCTTACGTTGCCTGAGGCGCAAAGCACAAAAAAGCACTCTCCCAAGTGAAGCAGGGCAGTAACTTTTCAAAGTACTGTACTTAATATGCTATAAATTCATGATTTTGTTAATAG